CCCCATGGGGACCGAAGCAGATCCCAACCTAGCTGACTTGGACCCACAGCCCCTGATTCCAGCTGTCACTGCAGATAGGAGCTGGATTGCGTTCGACGGTTCTCACAGACGCGAGTGTCACGTGGCCTCTCCAGAGCCCATTACGGTTGGCATGTGAATAGGGACTACCCGGACGGTCCGCCCAGCACAGGGGGCAGGCGGGGGCCTCTCTACAATGCAGATCCAATCGTGTCTCTCCCTCGCTTAAGCCCTTCACTGCATGCTGGGTGAAGGACACGTCGTCCAGCATGGAATGTGAGGCCTCGTCCCCGCAGCCCTGGCTGCTGTTCCTGCTTTAGCTGCCACCGCTCCCCGTCCCTCTTCCGCAGACCCTCAGCTCCTGTCTCCCAGACTCACGGCGTGGGCTCCACACCCGAGTCTCTCTCTCTTCCCTCCATCCTCGCCTCTTAGGTTCGTGCAAGATATGGCGAGCAGCTCCTGCCAGGACGCCCCACGGTAACCTCTGGGAAACCCTTTTATCCTGCACAGCGGGTGCGACCGTGAATTTTATGTGTCAGCTTGACTGGGCTACAGGGTGCCCAGATATCTGGTCAAACGTTCTTCTTGGTGTGTCCCTGAGGGTGTTCGGATGAGGTTAACATTTAACTCAGCAGACTGAGTGAAGCAGACGGCCGCCCCCGTGCGGGTGGGCCTCATCCGGTCAGTCGAAGCAGGACATGAGGAGTGAGACTGATGGAGCCAGAGGTAAAATCATCGTTATGGAGAACGAACTTTAGCGTCCATTCCGGAATGTGGAGGAAAAGGACAGAGAGAGAAAGCAACAAAAAAGGTGTTAGATATGAAATCAGAAAATGAAGAAGCGACTTACTTTTGCCGACTTGAAGAATTGCCTGAATTGAAGAATTACTTACAGAAACATAGGTGACATAGTTCCCGGTTAGACCGACATTTAGATCGACCACAGACGTCTTGTCAACAATAACTGAGCCAGAAGAAAACCGAGTGATCCATTCCAAGTGTCTGCCCAGGATGGTCTTCCTTGCCACAGCTTCCTTTAGGAGAAATGGAAAAACAAAGACATTTTAAAACACGTAAAGACCGAGTTTATCACTCACAGTTCATTAAAAAGCCTGTTATTATTTAAAGCCTATTATTATTTTATCATGAACACAAACAGAAAGCGTGAAATGGAAGAAATGACGGTGAAACACATTGATAAAATATGCGGTAAATTCAACGAAACATCTACTTGAAAATCTGATATTATTGTGTTAAAGGTAAAACTAAAATTATAGATAACAGCAAAACGTGGTGGGTGTTCGGCGGATGCGTCACCACACGAATCCCTTATCCGTGATTAGGCCAGGAATGGAAATATATAGCCTTTATTCTTCTTTAAGTATAGTTAAATGTGCACTTTTTTAAAAATGAGGAGTAGGCACTGAACACACGGAAATACTATCTATAGTTTCTCCATCAAAATCGACTGGAAAAGAAATGTAAACAGAAAGTGTTATCGAAGCCAAAAGAAAGAAGGGAGAAGCCGAGGAGAGAAGCGGAGTGGGCCGCTGGGGAGAAGCGAGTCCGACTCTGAGAAGCCGGACCCAGCGCTGCAGCCTGAGAGCCTGCGAGACGGAACGCGGCCCTGGGTCCGAGACGCTGCCCCGGCCTCCGCCCGACTCCGCACGCCCCGTCTGTCTGCAGACTCCCCTCCCCGGGCGTGGTGTTGTTGCCAACTGACAGATGAGTCAGTCTCTCAGCCTTCCTCGCACTGACGCAGCCAGAGCCAGGAGAAGCGTGTCACAGTCAACACACGGGGACGCGGGCGTTCTGTGAGGGCCCACGAGCCAATCCGATGACGATCTCTGGGGGAAATGAACTTTTAAAGTACGCTTTTTTCAGTCCGCTTTTTAGAGACTCGCGGCGGCCTTGTTAATATAGAGTATGAAATGTTCTCGGGTCTAAGTGTGCCCTGGTCCCCCCTCCACCATGAGCCCCTGGCCACCCACACGACATCATCGTTAATTTTGTGTCGGTCCGACTGGATCCGCAGACGGCCCTCCCAGCGTGGGCGGGCCTCGTCCAATCAGTTGAAGGCTGGACCAGCCCAGAATGGAGAAAGGCAGAATCTGTGGGACTTCTGTGCCGAACGGCTTGAGCCGAGACATCGGGCCTCTCCTGCCCTCAGACTGCGACCTCCAGCATCGGCCCCCAGGGTCCGCAGGCCTGCAGACCCGGCCTGCACTCCACCCCCGGCATGCCCGGGGCTCCAGCTGGCAGGCGGCGGATCATGGGACTTCTCAGTCTCCGTGACTGAGCGAGCCACCAATCAAGCCACCGCCGATCAGTCGATCAATCGATCATACATACGGACATCCTCTTGGTACTGTTCCTCTGGATCGTCCTGACTGACCAGCCCTCCCTGGCACTCAGGATTTCAAGAACACAGTCACATACACTTTGGAGTGAGTGCCCCCTCGGGACAGGGTGCCCCGTGCGGGGAGCAGACCTCAGCGACGGCCAGCGACTGTTTTAGACAGAAGCTGTGCTGGTGAGCCGGCCGGGGGCTACCGGAGCAGAGCCTGCCCCGGGGGAGGTGAGGACCGTCCCCACGGGTCACCCGCTGCCTCCTCACCGCCCGGCGAAATTTCAGCCTCCCTGCTCTCTGCTAAGTGCACCGCTCCCGAGCCGCTGTGCTGACGTGAGCAGAAACGAGACAGGCGCTCGCTGGCCTCCTGTCCATTGTGGGTGTTTCTCCCTGCGGTTCCCGGGGATTGTGTGCCTCATTTATTCAAGGCTGCTAAGGTTACAGAGCCACGCGGGCTCGTCCCCGGCCTGGAAGCTCAGCAACGACTGGGGGGTGCTGCCACCCAGTGGTGGCGCTGCGAATTGCCTTGCGTGGGAATCAACCAGAGAGCGGGAAGAGGCCGCGAGAGAGGCCGCTGATGCTGACCGCAAGGAAGCACGGGCGGTAAACGCACGTTCCCCCACCCCCGAGCTTGCTTGGCTAATCAAAGCAAGAGCTGGGGATTTGCTGCAGACCTCTCTCTCCTCCTGCTGCTAAATCTCTACTTGGTTCAAAAGGAGCCGTGTCCTCGTCTATGTGCTGCAGGAGTTTAGAAGTTGTCTTTCTGGGAAATGGTTTTTGCTGGTTTTAACATGTTTGCTAAGCGGGGACACCTCAGGGAGGTCGACTCCCTGTGTGAGGAAATCACGCTCAGGTCCCTCAGAAGCGATTTCTGAGGCTCACGTCTCCTTCCGCGTGCCGCCTTCGCCCTCGGCCTCTGCCGTTGACCTTGAAGTTCACATGAGGCTTTTCTCGTGTCCTGTAGGCAGGAGGGGTACAGGGAGCAGGAGACTTTGCGAGGACACCCAGGCACAGGGTCGAAAGGGAATCCACGTCCAGATGCCTGCTGTCAATCCCCGATCTGCCTGAGGACAGGTCAGAATGACCCAGAGATGCCCCTCTCCCAGCTCCCCTTCCACAATGGCTCTTTCTGACTAACGAAGAGGCGGCCCGCCCTCCCCCCCGACCTGGCCGCTGTACCTCACTCAGAGCTGTAAGGCACTGCGCGGCACCAAACCCAGAAACCGAGAATACTGTCTGGGGACGAGTCCTGTGACGAGTGATCACCGCACCGCAGGCGTCTCTGCTGCAGGCCTTGGGCACGGTGCTGGGCGGGCTCAGCATTCAGCGGGCAACGGGCTAGAGGAATGAGGCCCAGGGCACGGTGGCCGGGGCCCACCCGCCGCCCTGGTCGGTTTGCAAGCCTGCCTGGACGGGAAGGCCCGCAAAGCCGGCCATGCTTCTTCCAGAAGTATCCCTGAGCCCCCAGATCCTTGCTCGTCAGGCAGGCGGTTGGGCGGGCGTGTGGCAGAGAGCCTGACGATGGGGGAGAAGGGCTTTGCATTCATCAGTTTCCATCTTGGCTGTATTCAGTTTTCCACGTGGGACTGTTTCCCTGAATCCGTCTAACCTTCCGGCAGTTTCCAGCTGCCCAGCAGCTCCAAAGAGGTCATCTTGCCCCAGGCAGGACCGGCCTCAGAGCGGGCAAACAGCCCACGCCACCCAAAGCCAGAGCTGAGAACAATTAGAGTAAATGGCCAGGCTCGTTCGCGATTGAGATCACCTGACGCTGCGTGAGACCTCTGACTCCGCCATTTCGCTTCGGGTGCTTGTCGACAACGGCCACGGGCACCTTTGCCTCTGGGTGAAAGGCCAGACGTGCAGGTTCGGGGGCCGCGTTTGGAAGGAAGAGGAAACTTGGGGAGACCGTGAATTCTGAGCAAAGTTGGTATATTTTCCCACTAGAGAGGGAGGCAAAGGGAGAGCTGAGCAAACTCCCCGGGTGCGTGGGCTCGTGGGGTCCCCCGTGTCTAGTGATGCTGCAGGCAGCACACCGAGTTCCCCGGGTCATCAGAACGTGGGTAAAAAATGCCCCCCACCCCCCACCCGCTCTCCTCCATGTGCTCAGGTCGGGTGGGGGCATCTCTTTCAGGCTTGCCCTGTGTCCCTGGCTTAGGAAACTAGGAGGCCGTCGGAGAGTAAGTGTCCCAGCAAAAGCTCAGCGGGACACCACTGGAGAATTCAGGAGAGGGGTCCAAGGCAGCTCAGTAAAGAGTCGAGATGTCCGTTAAGAAGTTAAGACAAAGGGAAATGAGAAGGTGGTTGAAATAACCTGAAATTTACTGATAACTACCTGAAAAGTCAATGCACGAAACACTGACTTTTCAAGGCCGGGTGATGAATTCTATACTGACATTTTGGACATTCTTCTATTGATGAACATTAAACAAAATGATGCTTGAAAATTTGGCACACGGAAAGGCGTAAAGTTTCTAGAGAATATACGCATGTCAGAATAGCGGGAGAGAAAGGAAACATTTAAAATGTTGAGAGAGACAGCAGTACCACGTCTCACACAAAAATGTCTTAAGGTTTTTTGCCACCGGCAGGATCTGACGGTATGAATAACCCCATTCGTTGTGTTTTCGTGTAGGAATTCCGGAATCTCTCGAATCTCGAGGTGACACTGGTCGTTTCTTCTGCTCTCCCACATCGTAGGGGAATGTCCAGCCGAGGCGACAGGCAGTCTGCAGCCCCGGGACACCTGCCTCTGCCTGGATTCGGAGCCAGCCCCCTCCGGTGAGTACAGAATCCATCTCGACGAAACCGACCGCTCTCTCAAAATAAGACAACATCTTTTGAAAAGTTAACTCTGAGGTGGAAGTCTTTGTCGGGTGATATGCGAAGTGTCACGCTTTCTGGTCAATGACGTCTTCCTGGGACGATAGGCAGGCGTTGAGTTTTTCTAACGAACGCCACCAGCAGGAGGAAGGAGTCCTTTTTGTCCTGAGCCGTTCAGACTTCCCCCTCTTCGGAAAACGTTCTCCAGAACGGGCTGGGTCCTTTCCTTTTGTTCAGCTACCCGCTCAAATATCACGTCATCGGTCAGTCACTTTCTAGTCTCCCCATCACCGCAGTTGTCATCAATTTCTCTCTCTCCCCCTCTGCCTTCGTGTTTATCATGGCACTTAATTAACTTGTGATAACAAATTTATAAGTGGACGATAGAAAACACAGATTCACAGATTTGAACTGTAGCGATTAATTATTGCAGAATACTCAGAAATCATATTGTTATAGACTCGTGGTTAAGTGGGTACGTAACCGTTTTTATATGTACAATACAACGTCATATACGTGAGTGGACAAACACATATTTTGTATATAGTCGCTACTTCGAACCTCATTCGGAATTCCTGTTTTACATCCACTGCGTTTTTCAACCTTGCGATCCCTCCTCCTCCTGCCACCCACCCCCTCCTCCAGCAACAGCAGATCTGTCCTCTGTATCCACGACTTTTGTTTTTGGTTTAATTCTGCCCAGAAGAGAGATCATATGGTATTTGTCTTTCTCTGACTTATTTCACGTAGCATAAGACCCGCTGGGCCCACCCATGTTGCCACACGTGGCAAGATTTCATCCTTTTTATGGCTAATGTTCCGTCGTGTGAGTGCGTGTGCGTGGATCATCCATTTTCTTATCCATTTATCCGTCTCTGGGTTTCTGGGGTTTCTCTGCGATATGGCCTGGGGTGTCTGTGTCTTCTTGGGTCTCTGGGGTCTCTCTCAGGGCCACGCTGGCTTTTCTGGTGTCTCTTGGTCTCTCTCTAGGCCAGGGTGGGGCCTCTGGTGCCTCTGGGGTCTCTCGGGTCTCTCTATGGGCCTTGCCGGGGTCTCTGGGGCCTCTCGCATCTTTCTCTGGGGCAGACTAGGGTTTCTGGGCCTCTGGGGTCGCTCTGTGGGTTGATCTGGGGTCCTGGGCTCTGGGGCCTCTTGGGTCTCTCTCTAGGCCGGGCTGGGGTCTCTGGGACCTTTGGGCAGAACTGGGTCCCTGGGTCCTCTGCGGTCTCTATAAGGACATACTGGGGTCTCTTGGGCCTCTGGGTTCTCTCTCTGGACTTGTCTGTTTTCTCTGGGGCCTCTGGAGTCTCTTTCTCGGCCGGATGAGGTTTCTGGGGTCTCTAGGGCCTCTGGGGTCTTTCTCTGGTCTGGGGTCTCTTGGGCCTCTGGGGTCTCTCTCTAGGCCAGACTGGGATCTCCTGGGCCTCTAGGGTCTCTCGGTTTTCTCTCTGGCCCGGTCTGGGGTATCTGGTACCCCTGGAATCTCTCTCTGGGCCAGGCCGGTGTCTCTGGGACCTCTGGGGTCTCTCTCTGGCCAAACTGGGGTCTCTGGGTCCCCTGTGGTCTCATTCTGTGCCAGGCTGGGGTCTCTTGGGCCTCTGGGGTCTCTATAAGGACGACTGGGGTCTCTGGGCCCTCTGGGGTCACTCTCTGGGCGGGCCTGGGTTCTCTGGGTCCTCTAGAGTTTCTCTGTTAGCTCTCCTGGGGAGTCTGTGTCCTCTTGGTTCTCTGCGGTCTCTCTGTGGGCCAGCCTGGGTCTCTGGGTCCTCTGGGGTGTCTTTCTGACCTGTCCTGGGGTGTCTCGCAGCCAGGGTGTGGTCTCTGGGGTCTCTCTCAGGGCTGGAACGGCGTCTCTGTAACCTCTGAGGTCTCTCTCTGGACCTGGCTGG